GCTTTAAGCTCATGTGGGGGCATTGAGACAGGCCTAGAAAAGGGATTTTTTAGCCTGGGTGACCAAAGTAGGAATACCATAGAGTCAGGAAATGTTCCTTCTTACTAGAAGAAGCTGCTTCCTTCAGCTCATTATTGCTCTATGCTATGATGTCACATCTGCCCTGTGGCCTGTTCCACTCCACCATCTGGGTTCAGGAATACTCTCCTAGGTGATGTCCCCACCAGTCTACTCTAAGGGTGTCCTGCTCTGCCACACTCTGCCTTTGGGAACTTTAAAATATTGAACTTAAACACTCTGTAGCATTTCTAGTGTTGACTTTTTGTGGGTGATTTTTATTTTTAATTATTTTTTAAAATCAACAGGATCATACTGTGTATACAATGTACTGAGATTCACACCCCTTCCTCTATTATCCTCTTCCTCCACCAGTGACTCTCTTCTCCCCACCTAATCCCCCTCCTACCCTTCTGTCCTTCCTTCATTTTCTTCTTCTTTTTTTTTTTTTTTTTTTTTTTTTTGGTTTTTTGAGACAGGATTTCTCTGTAGCTTTGGAGCCTGTCCTGGAACTAGCTCTTGTAGACCAGGCTGGCCTCGAATTCACAAAGATCCACCTGCCTCTGCCTCCCAAGTGCTGGGATTAAAGGCGTGCACCACCACCCTCATTTTCTTCTTATTTGGGGGGCCGGAGATACAGTCAGTCATAGCTTCTGGGTCTTCATGTTTGCAGCAGCCATGTGATATGAAGTCAGTGCCCCACTGCACTCCTCCCTACCCTGTGGTTTCCACATCTGTGTGCCATCTTCTTCCATCATGTTCCCTGGCACGAGGAGGCATGACATAGATGCCCTATTTGGAACCAACCACTTAGCAGCCATGTATTCTTATCACTTTGACCATCACCCATTGCCAAAACAGGCTTCTCTGGTCAAGGCTGAGTGCTGCTTGGGTATATTAGTTTGAACATTTGGAAGGCAGTTCAACTGCATGTCCATTTGGCAATAAGTAGTGGATTCCCCCTGGATCCTGTGACCAAGCTCCTTAGCTCTGGCTTTTGAGCAGTTCTACAGTGCTAGGCATATACTCCTTCCACTGGATCTGATCAGGAGGCAGCTGGTTAGCCCAGCACATTCATGACACCATTGTACCAGTAGGCATGTCTTGCCAGGCAGTTCGCTATTGTAGCATGAAGGGTCTGCAGCTGGATATGATTGCTGAAGAAGGATTCTCTTCCCTTGATGGCCTGCATACCATGTCCAGCACATTGAATGCTGGCTACTAGAGAGAGAGCTGCCAGCTCAATTCCAACTTTCTCTGTCTTTTATATCTAGAATATGTGGTATCTTCAGCAATAGAGTTTTACTGACTAATTCTGGAGGGCAGTCAAGAGCAATGGTAATAACCCACTTTGCTCTGATATCCTCTGTGGTCTACCCGACCAACCCATAGGACGGTATCCTTGGATTTGACTTTGAAAACCTATGGCTTGAGTGTGTTGCTGACCTTTCTTAATAGAGGAGGAAACCAAGGTTCAAAAATTTTTAAACATTTTTCTCTCGTTTGACTTATCTAACTACATGGTGAACTGCGCTGCTTTGAAGCCCACATTGTTGTAAAACTCTGCAGTGCCTTCCCGTTTTAGTAGGCTGTCCAGAACATTTTAGCTTATCTTATTAAAGAAGACAAAATCCCTTTCACCCACAGTCTCTTAGCACCGAAGAACTTCGTTATTGAAACATCTTGTTCTGAAATGTGTTCAAGGTCCAGGCTCTGTCAGCCGCTTGAAGACAGTGAGCACAAGGAAGGCAGGAGAGTGTCAGAAATAGACTGGTTCCCTGGGACTCATGTGGACAGCATTCATCTTCCCCAGAACCCGCCAATCTGCTGCCTATCTGCCTTCTGCGACACCGTTTAAGTTTTAATTATCTTCACACTGAGCTGCTGTGTGGAGGACTTCTGAGAGAACAAAGTGTAGTGCTCCGGCTGCTAGCACAGTTCTTCATTGCTCACTGATGCTGCCCTTGCTGCCCCGCCCTTGTTACCCGGTGACATGGGTGACCATGCACCGCAGAGACAGTGCTGAAGAGCGAAGAGAAAAGTCTCGAGCTTTGTTTGCTATCTTGTGGCAGAAGAACGATGTCTACTTCTCTTGCTCAAATGTTAGGATCACTTTGTTTTGCTTTTTCAAAGAAAGTTCAAAAACAAAATAAACAAAACATCCCTACCCTTTCTCGTGGGTTTTCAGTTAGAACTTCTCCTCCACTGTGGGTTCTGTATTCTGAGCTCTAGTGAGGAACCGTGGCTGTGATCAGGGGTAGATGCTTGTGAGCCTCCTCAGTCCTTGTGTAAGAGGGTCTCCAAGAAAGACAGGCCTCCCCAGGCTGTCAGCACTCACTGAAGCCTGGCCCTTTACTGACACCCATGCTGATTCTAGTTGCTGTCTTCTGTGCAGGAAGGAGGGGCCTGGCTCCTTCTGGCTTCTTTCTTTTGGTGTTCCATTTCTTTCTTTTTTCTTTTTTAAATTTTTATTGAGCTCTACATTTTTCTCTGCTCCCTTCCGTACCTATCCCCTCCCCTTCAATCCTCTCCTAAGGTCCCCATGCTCCCAATTTACTCAGGAGATTTTGTCTTTTTCTACTTCCCATGTAGATTAGATCTATGTAAGTTTCTCTTAGGGTCCTCATTGTTGTCTAGGTTCTCTGGGATTGTGATTTGTGGACTGGATTTCTTTGTTTTATGTTTAAAAACCACATTCCATTTCTTGAAGTGTGGGTTTGGGTAAGGACTTGAAGCCATTGCTGTAAGTTATGCTGTAATGGTGCAGGCTTAGAAAGCCTGTGAGCCCGGGTGACAGGGCTTGTTATGGGCATGCTCTGTAGCCAGCAAGAAGTGAGATGTATGGTGATGAATGGCTCATTTGACCTCAGGATTATGGGTGGAGATAACACTGTCTTCATTTACGTGGGGCTTTGACCTGGAGATGTAAGAGTGTTCTTCTCTTATCTAGTATTTTCTTTATTGTCACAAACACTGTCATTAAAGTTGTAAAATGTATTCCACTACAACTGTTTGTCTCCAGTTGCTTATAACCATGTGGCAAGGGAAGGCAAGATTGCATTGTTTTGTCTGTCCCTGCCATTTACATCAGGGTAAAATTGCAAAATGACAATTATTTGAACTTGAAAGCTTGATTCCATGTTTATAAAGGAAAGGGAGGCCAATCAGCATCTGCTTTAGGCACTGCCAAGGGGAAAGGCCCCGTTAGTCATCTCCTGGCTCTTGTACCGTGCACAGTAGGAGAGCTCGTTCTTCTTGGGTAACTTAACCTTGAGAATAGGATCTGATCAGATTGCATCAAACTGCCTGCTCTGAGGTTGCAGACAGCAGCACTCAGGCTGCCTTGGCCATGTGCGGTTGAAAGTGCAATGCTAGTTGAGTTCCTGAGGTTACAGGAAATGACCAAAATTAGATTCGGGCCAAGATGCCAGATTTAGTACACCCCTTCCCTTCCAGAAAGCACCCGGGGAAAAGACTCTAGCTGTCTACAGTAAAAGACAACATAATCTGTACTACTACTCAGACCATGAAGAATCTAATTTAAATGAACTCTCCACCAAAAACAAAAGAAAGCCCTGTTTGTCTGCATTGAGGCTGAGGAAGTCAGAGAAACCTTCCTGGTGCCTGCAGGGTTCTGGTAGGAGCCAGGTCTCAGCAAGGGAAGGATGACTCTCCCTGCACTAAGTCCAGGCATTCTGAATAGCTAGTCCAGGAGATCCCATTAATACGGGTTATGAAGATGAGTGATCGGCTTGTGTCAAGGAGCAGATGGCTAAATGGAGGTGCACAGGGAATGCCATGAGGCTCATGCTGGAAGAAACGGAGGAAGATAGCCCATAATGCGAAACCCCTAAATACAGTCTCCTTAATGTGAATGCTTCAAATAGTCTTTTACATTATGCAGTTAATTCAGAGTGATGAGAAACATTAGGAAATTATGGAATTAGTGGACAGCGATTAACATAGAAGTAAAATTATATCATCTAAATCGAAGGTTGTTCTGTGTGCAGAGAAGCCTTGCCCAGCCTGTCATTTCCTCATTGAAATCTGTTCTCTCAGTACATAGTTCATAATTTGGAAGAACAAGAATTCTTAGTTAATCTAGTTATTTTTCGTAGTTCTCCCTTTGAATTCTAGTGCAATAACATGGAGTACATTCCCTATGGTATTGTGTGACACCCAGAAGACCGTGTACTCACTAACCTGTGAACTGCCGTCCTTTTAGAGCTAAGGGCGCAAGTGGCTCCAAGGTTTAGTGCTTGTTTGTCGGTGATGAAGCCTCTGGAGAAATGAATAGGGTGAACAGGCCAAGACACTCCAGACCTGCCCAGTGAAACTCCACACCATGTGCAGATGGCAGAGCCGTGGGGCCCAGAGAGGAGCTGCAGAGCGGGCTGGGTCCTCTCTACAGAGAAGGCTCCCTAGCACTCAGGTGGGGGCTGACTTCCTAGAGGGACTTGGGAGCAGCACCTAAAGAGAAGACTTCCTTCCGTAGTGGTTTTCAGTAGGTTATTTGCATGTTTCCTTCAGAACAGGGAAGCAGTATTGATTTCATGCATCTGCCTGCAATGGATGGATGCTCTTGGAGCTGAAAACATTTGATTTTGCTTATAGTTTTGCACCTATACCCAGAGAGACTCCTAGTCATGAGTCAAGGTAGAAGCTGGTTGTTATTCTCCAGAGTAAATGTCTTGTGGATTTATATTTGCTCTATGACATACAAGGGTTGAACTAAATAGTACCTGATGTGATTTCTCTGTAAGTCAGAGCCAAGGTTTGCTTATTTCCCTGTGAAACAGCATGGCCATGAGCCAGCCAAGGAGGTTGACTTAAGAACTCTCAAAGTTCTTTCTACTCTGTGGTGCGATGTGCCTTACCTGCCTAGCTTGGCCATGGGTGTGGTGGAACTCATTCTAACACGTGTGCTTTCTTTTCACCCTCAGGTATATCCGAATAGTTGGGACTCACAACACAGTGAACAAGATTTTCCACATCGTGGCTTTTGAATGTATGTTTACGAACAAAACCTTCACTCTGGAAAAGGGCCTAATAGGTAAGTGTTACATGATATTTTTGCTATATGCTTAGATACTTTGCCTTCAGAATTTTCTTAGTCTAATAATTCCTCTTAATCAGATCTGATTAAGGACTTGAGTTGATTTTTAAATGTTGTATGGCTGAGTGACAGAGGCTTTATTTGTAGAAGAATTCAAAATAATAAACCCAGTAAAGGAAAGGAAAAACAAATATGAGTATTACACTACAGCTAGGATTGGAAGCGTTTAGGGAGTTGTCCAGATTTGCAGAGTAGAAAATGCTCTTGATAGCCAGGCAGAGGCTTTCACTCCGAAGGCTTTTCTATATTTAATATAGTTGAGGCTGGGGAGAATGTCTAGTATTGATCTGATGGTCATAGTTTTCAGGGCTACGAAGGCGTGTTGGCTTTGATTTGATATGAATGGTATGTGTAGCTGGGGGAATGTTTTCCTAGACATGTCAATTCCACATTTGCTCTCCTTAGCCAAATTACCCTCGAGAACGTTGCAGTCTATAATTTGAGTAAGACTGCAATGCTGAACTATTGCTGAGGAAGTCAAATTACTGGGTGGGAGCTACCTGGCTACTTTTTCCCACGGAGATTTTAAGTTCTGGGTTAGTTTGGGGGTGGGGGCAGGCTTTGTTTTAGTCATTGCTTAGCCCATTGTGTACCATCCATTCCTGGTCTTGGCCGTGGTGATGTCAAGACTGATGTGTTCTTTCCAAACAACTTATTCCGTGCCCTTGGGTGTGCCTCACCTCCTGCATACGTAGGCTCATGAGATCCTTGAGTTTGTGCTTTTGCTGTTGCTTTCTTTGAGAAATAACTCACAGCATGTTGGGGGCAGAACATGCTTTCGTCTGTTGCTTTCTTTGAGAAATAACTCACAGCATGTTGGGGGCAGAACATGCTTTCGTCTAGCCTTACCTAAAATAGAGTTCTGTGCCTTCAGAAGAGAATTCTGTTCTCTTGTCTATGTTGGGACACAGATCCACATTAAGTCTTCAGCACGGCAGCAACTAACAAAGAGGATCACTGACTCAGACGCAGGCAGTGATGTTTGCATGGCTGGAGGCTGAAATTCCCTGTGTCTGCTCTTGCCCTCGCAATGTGTGAAAATTTTCCATTGAGAAGAGGATTTTTAGAGCTCAACCAAAATAATTATTTTCCACTTTACTGTTAATTTAATTTAAAAAATTAGTAGTGCTGTTTTTGTGACTTTCAAGTCATTTGAAAATTAACAAATTTGAAGCACTCAGTGGTCGCATTGTCTTCTAATTCTGTCGGATATGTAGCTTTGTGGGTACAGGCTTCCTAGGTCCCCTGAAGACTTCAGGCCTCATTGTGTGCAGTCAGGAGAGGCCTTGCTGAGGAAGATCTGAGGAGACCAAGAGCTTTCAGATTCACAACCTGTGTGACATCTTTTCAGGCCCAGGGTCTGCATTCTTATACATGTTGTATCCATGTAAATTGGTCCCCTTCATACTGGAGGGAGAACAAAATTGTTGATACTGTAATTACCTAAGAAACAGGCCCATCTGGTAGAGAGGCCTGTACAAAACTTGGTATTGGTTATGGTAAGACATGCTTTCTTGCGTGTTTAGTGGAAGCTAATGCAGTCAGAGCTGTCCAAGGCTGTAATAGTCGCAGGCTTGTCAGATGATGGGAGAGGACTGCAAACGCGGGAAGTTGTTTTGATGTCTGATAGGACACGTCTTCAAGCCCCTTTCAATGAGGCATACAAGTGTGACTGCGAAGAACACTGCAGTGCCACACCTGCCATCGTCCCTCAGCCATGCAGGAGCAGCAGCAGCGCCAGTAGACAGGTATACATGTGAACTCACCAGCGGATGACCTGCCATGGGATGCACTCTGGACCTCCTGGGGGTCTATAGTTCAGAGCTGCCCAGACTAGGCAGAAAGGAGGTGGTGTTGGTGGGGAGGAGCATGGGGCTCTCATTACCCTGAGTCTGACATTGCAGCTTTGCTTAGCTTACAGAGGTGTTTAGAGTAGTACTGGACAGATGTGCATGTTGAGTATGTCAGATGCGTTTTAGCAGCACATAGCCCTTAGCTAGCAATTCTGCTGGAACCTCCCAAGAAAGGAGTGGACACTGCAGGGGCACAGGCAGATAGAGGTACCGAGAGGCGGATCTTTTTCTTTTTAGATGAAACCTCCTTGAGAGCCACTCCCTAAGCTTGATATTGTCATGACTGGAGAGAAAGGAAGACAGCAGAAATACTGTGCGTATCTAATGGAGTGCCAAGGCCTCCTGTTATGTCTAGATTCATAGATTCTTTCTCAGTTCTCAGTCTTCCTTCACCAGCTCAGGGTCTTCTAATCATTCTTCTATAGACCTTCAAAATGACTAAGTCATTTGTGGTTTTTATAGTCAGATTTTAGTGTTAAAACATGGAATGGTACCATGAAGTGACACAGCAGACGTAATGATGCCAACTCTGCATCTCTGCATCTTAGTCTTTCCCACCAAGGGTTTCGTGTGTGTGTGTGTGTGTGTTTGGGGAGGTTGTTTTCTATTTGGTTTGGTTTAGTTTGGTTTTGTCGACCCTCAAACTCATAACCCACTGTGTGTTTCTCACATGCTGGGACTGTAGGTGTGTGGCACCATGGCCTGCACCTCCCCTCACCATGCTGCTTCACTTGCACAGCTTAGCAGGAAAGCCTGCAACTTGGCCAGCTTCCCTGTCCCTGGGAATGGGCCCTGGCTGGGCCTACCACCACCTCGCTGCTGCTCTTGCCATAGCCCTATCACACTTGATTGATGGCTGCTTGTGCATCTTCCCCGAATGCATCCTCTCCTGGCAGAGCGGGCCTGTGGTGACTGTCTCCTCTGTGTTAGGAAGAGTTGCAAGAGGCCCTAGCATGGCACCAGTGAGGCACAGAAGTAACTCCTGTTTTACACATTCCTGACCTCCCAAATGTGGTGTTTGCTCAGCACTCTACTTTGTGATCTTTGTATATGTTTGCTGAGGTCTGATTATTCATAGCCATTGAAAGATTGACTATCATACTAGTATCTTATAAACAGAGATCTCTTTTTTTGTTCCTGGCCACCCAGACCTGAATAATCACACAAAACCATATTAATTACAACACTGGCCAGTGGCTCAGGTATATCCCTAACTAGCTCTTATATCTTAAATTAACCCATTTCTATTAATCTGTGTATTGCCATGAGGTTGTAGCTTTCCGGTAAGGTTCTGACGTCCCTCTCCTTCAGCAGTTACATGACATCTCCCTGACTCTGCCTTCTTTCCTCCTCTATCTCTGCTTAGATTTCCCTCCTTGCTATATTCTGCTCTGCCATGGGCCAAAGCAGCTTCCTTATTAACTGATAGTAATAAAACATGTTCACAGCATACAGAGGGGAATCCTCCATCAGTTACTCACTCATAGTCCCTACCAGCTGTCTTTGAGAACAACACACAGCCAGCTTAGTTTTGTCTGTCTGTAACTTCCTCCCCACCAGGTCACTATTACTCTTATGTGTATGCTTATCTTGTCTGAATGTGTGTCTATGTGCACATGTCTACCTGGTGCCCAAAGAGGCGAATAGAGGAAGTCAGATCCGCTGAAACTGGAGAGATAGAGAGTTGTACACCACAGTGGGGTGCTGAGTCCTCTGGAAGAGCATCCAGTCCTCTTAAACACTGAGCCATCTCTCCAGCTTCACCACTAGATTATTTTGAAGTCAATCATAAGTGTCTTATCATTTCATCTGTAAATATTTCATTATATATTTCTAAAAGTAAATTTGTATTTAGTATTATAATGCCATTATAATTCCTCAAATTTGAGTAGTAATTTCTTTTTTTATTAAATTTATTTATTTATTAAAGATTTCTGTCTCTTCCCTGCCACCGCCTCCCATTTCCCTCCCCCTCCCCCAATCAAGTCCCCCTCCCTCCTCAGCCCGAAGAGCAATCAGGGTTCCCTGCCCTGTGGGAAGTCCAAGGAACCCCCTCCACCCCCCATCCAGGTCTAGTAAGGTGAGCATCCAAACTGCCTAGGCTCCTACAAAGCCAGTACGTGCAGTAGGATCAGAAACCCATTGCCATGAAAGGAGACAGAGACAGAGACCCACATTGGAGCACCGGACAGAAATCTCAAGGTCCAAATCAGGAGCAGAAGGAGAGAGAGCACGAGCAAGGAACTCAGGACTGCAAGGGGTGCACCCACACAATGAGACAATGGGGATGTTCTATTGAATAGTAATTTCTTAAGATTTTAAGAGGTCAGCCAGTATTGAAATGTCTCCTAATAGTTTTAAAGTCTGCAGTGAGAAAGTTTGTATTTTGTAAGTTATTCAAATCAGAATTTTTAAGGGGAAGGAAACAGAGCTCCATGAGTAAAGAACACCTTGGCTTCCGTTCCCAGCAGCCCTCCCTAGTAACCTGATAAGGCTCCTTACCGCACTCTCCCAGACTTGCTCACTCCTTCTCTAGTACGAGTTATTGGTTGAAGAAAACAGATTTTTGTCTACAGTGTCACTGATGGCCTAAATTTTGGTCACTGAGCCCCAAGGCATGCTCACCCATTGCATTCCTTGTGGCATAGCCATTAGAATCCAAGTCAGATTTTACTATTGTTTTTAGGTAACTGCTCCATAGTTAATGTTGTGTGTGCTACAGCATCAGGAAACACGTAGACATTCAGATTGTCTCCCCTTTGGGTATTTCCATCTATTGATGACTATTTCTCAAATCTGCTGCTTCGTGATTTAGGAATATAGAATACTATTCCAAGTCTGTCTTTTTTAATAGCTAGAAAGAAAACATTTCTCTAAAGCTTGGTTTGAGAATCCTGAGATGTAACTTTCCCAGGAAAAGTAGGGTGAATGTTACATTGTTTTCCTTTCTGTCTCAGTTTTCAAATTGAAGAAGTTGCTCTCTAGCATCCTCCAAGTGTGACCAAAGAAATAGATTTGGAGCCAGACAGTGACAGTGGCGGCTCACATCTTTAATCCCAGAAATCAGGAGGCAGAGACAGGCAG